GCAAAAAACCTCAAATAGAATCAACCGATTTTGAGGTATTGAAAAAAGAGTTAACTCTTCCAATACCTAGTATTCCAAAATTGATTCTACCCATCAAATCATGGCGATCCGAGAGGAACATAAACCTACATCGGAGACCTACATCGGAGGCTTCGACATTCGTTCCAGACATATCAAAGCTTTATATTTCTAGCTCATCCAAACAAGAAGGAGCTCCTGAATCAAAACATACTTTCAAAGGATGTTACAATCGTCAAGTCAAAAAGTTGTTTGAAAATGCTGGGTTTGGAAAAGGAAAGCCTCGTAAATTAGGTTATCTTGACACTGTCCTTTCAGGTGGGCGTGTCCCTTCTAATTCTAATGGAGCCCTGATGTCTCGACCCAGGTATGATTTGGGATATGATCCTAATCCACCAAGAAAGATTAAGGTCTATAAGGTTTCCTCAAACCCCATCATGGTTCAAATTTATGAAGTTGCAGAAGAGAAATCAAAACAACCGAGACCTTCAGTGTTCGGTCGAATTGAAAATGAGAATGCTAGAGTTTCGGTGTTTATAAGGTTAAAAGGAGAACCCTCTCCAGTGGTCGATGTAAAAGGTAAAGTTTCTGTCTTTCAAAGATTAAATGAAGATTCTTCTTCTTCTACCCAGATTGATAGCAATGTACAAGCTCCCCAAATGTCATCTCAAAGACAATTTGCATTTTCTCGACTTGGAATAAAAAATTCCAATCCGAGTCCGAAACTACAACGGTCAAGAAGAAGATGGCGACATCAAAAACTTCACTCATCCCTAAAGGGTAATGAAGACGAGGAAGAAGTTTCTGCCAATCACATAGCCTTTGAAGAAGCTCTCAATTCAGACTCCGAGTCCAAAAGTTCTATCACAACAGATGAACCTAAACCAGCCCCACCTACATTTGAAGAAGGTGGGCAAGGTACTATGGATGACTTAAAACAATTTAACTTGGGGATCGAAGAAGACTCGAAACCAGTATTTGTAAGTGCCCTCCTCAGTAAAAAAGATGAATCTGAGTACATTAGTTTGCTTCAGGAATACAAAGATGTGTTTGCGTGGTCTTACAAGAAAATGCCAGGGTTAGACCCTAAGGTTGCAGTACATCATCTCGTAGTAAGACATGGAGTTTGACCAGTCAAAAAACCTTAAAGAAGATTTCAACTAGAACTGATCCCTCAAATTGAAGTGGAAGTCAACAAATTTATTGAAGCTGGATTCATACGTGAAGTAAAATACCCAATATGGATCGTAAATATTGTCCCAGTTAAAAAGAAGAACGGGCAATTAAAAATTTGCGTTGACTTTCGAGATTTGAATCAAGCATGTCCGAAAGATGATTTTTCACTTCCGATAACAAAGTTGATGGTAGATGCAACTACCAGATATGAAGTCTTATCTTTCATGGACGGATTCTTTGGATACAACCAGATACAAATGAACCCGAAAGACGAGGAGCTCACATCATTTCGTATCCCTAAAGACATAAATTGTTACAAAATTATGCCTTTTGGATTGAAAAATGTGGGGGCAACCTACCAGAGGGCAATGCAGAAGATTTTCGATGACATGCTGCATAAAAACGTGGAATGTTATGTGGATGATCTTGTTGTCAAAACCAAAAGATGTGACGATCATTTACAAGATTCACGGGATGTTTTTAAAAGATTTCGAAGACATCAACTGAAGATGAATCCGTTGAAATGTGCATTTGGCGTCACTTCTGAAAAATTTCTCGGCTTCGTTGTTCGACACAGGGGCATTGAAATATATCAATCAAAAATTAATGCCATAATCAACATGCTAGAGCCAAGAAATATACGTGAGTTGAAAAGTTTTCAAGAAAAACTTGCATACATTCAAAGAATTATCTCTAATCTGGCTGGACGATGTCATCCATTTAACAAATTGGTCAAGAAAGACGTACCATTTGAGTGGGACGACGCTTGTCAAAATGCTTTCCAAAGTATTAAACAATATTTGTCACGTCCACCGGTACTCACAGCTCCAGTCCCAGAAAAGCCACTAACTCTTTATGTTGCAACACAAAAATATTCTCTAGGAGCACTTCTTGTCCAATTCAATGATGAAGGAAAAGAGAATGCACTCTTTACTTAAGCCGGATACTAGTAGGCGCTGAAATGAAGTATTCACCTGTTGAAAAAATGTGCCTTGCATTAATCTTTGCAGCTAAAAAATTGAGACATTATATGCTATCACACACAATCAATCTCGTTTCGAAGATTGATCCATTGAAGTACATAATGTCTAGGCCAATTTTCTCTGGCAGGATTGGAAAATGGGCACTACTATTTTCTGAGTTCGATATCAAATTCATTCCACAAAAGGCCATTAATGGACAATCTTTGGCAGATTTCCTAGCTGACCACCCAATTCCAGCGGAATGAGAACTTCAAGAAGACCTTCCCGATAAAGAAGTTCTATTCACTGAAGTCATACCTCATGGAGGCTATACTTCGACGGGGCAACCCGAAGTTATGGTGCCGGAGCAGGAGTAGTCTTAGTCACTCCCGATGATCTTGTCATGCCCAACTCTTTTGCCTTAGAAGAGAAATGTTCAAACAACGTGGCGGAATATCAAGCTCTTATCATTGGTTTAGAATTAGCGTTAGATATGGATATCCACCAGCTGGAAGTCTTTGGAGATTCTAAATTAATAATCAACCAACTTTTAGCTGAGTATGAAGTCTGAAATTCAGACCTGAAACCATATTATGAATATGTATCAATGCTTATGAGACGATTTGATTCAGTAAAAATTAAATTCGTCCCGAAGTGAAAATAGGGAAACTGATGACTTAGCTAATTTGGCTGCTGTTTTAGCTAGGTCAAATGAAGATTTCTTACACTCCATATCAATTGCTCAAAGATGGGTGCTTCCGTCGTTGCTACCCAATAATTTGGAAGAAAATAATAGTGTCGAAGTATTCAAAAATGAGGAAAGAGAAGATTGGAGACAGCTAATAATCGATTTCCTTCAACATCAAAAACTACCAGATAATCCACGGCGAAAATTGAAATCAAGGGGCGTGCCTCTCGCTGTATCTTTTATAAGGGAACACTTTATCAACGATCATTTGATAGAGTTTTCCTTCGATGCCTAAGTGATGACGAAGCAACACAGGTCGTGGAAGAAGCCCACTCTGGAATTTGTGGTGCCCAACAGTCTGGACCTAAACTCCATTTTCGAATAAAAGGGATGGGCTATTACTGATCAACTATGGTACAAGATTCCATGGATTATGCAAGAAAATGTGAAGCTTTCCAAATCCATGCAAATTTCATCCATCAACCTCCGGAACCATTACATCCGACAGTAGCTTCATGGCCGTTTGATGCATGGGGTTTTGATGTAATAGGACCTATAACTCCAAAGTCTTTAGCAGGGCATGCATACATCCTCGTCGGGACCGATTACTCCTCCAAGTAGGTCGAAGCCATACCATTGAAGGAAGTAAAGAAAGAAAATGTTGCAGATTTCATTCGTATCCAAATCATTTATCGATATGGTGTTCCCCGACATATCATAACTGATATGGAAAACCATTCTGCAATAGCCACGTAAACAATTTATGTGTTAAGTTTGGGTTCAAACGGTATAACTCGTCTATGTACAGTGCGACAGCTAACGGATTAGTAGAGGCATTCAACAAAACACTATGTAGTCTACTAAAAAAGGTTGTCTCTAAATCAAAAAGAGATTGGCATGAGAAAATCAGAAAAGTCTTATGGGCTGATCGGACTCCAACACAAGCCACTCCTTATGCCTTAGTTTATGGAGTAGAAGCTATACTTCCTCTGGAGTGTCAAATTTCGTCACTTCGAATTGCCATCCAGGAAGGTTTGACAACTGAAGAAAATGTCCACCTTCGATTGGAAGAGCTAGAAGCTTTGGATAAGAAGAGGTTAGAAGCACAAATGCATCTAGAATGCTATCAAGCTCGAATGGCCAAGTCTTTCAACAAAAAGGTGCGACCAAGATCATTTCAAGTTGAAAATTTGGTACTTTTCGTGTGCAGGCCAATCATAATTACAAGAAAAATAGGGGGCAAGTTCCAACTTAAATGGGATGGTCCATTTCTTGTTACTCATGCATTCACTAACGGAGTGTACAAGATCGTAGACAAAGATGGATTGCAAAGCGGACCTATCAATGAAAAATTTTTAAAGCATTTTTACGCCTGAAATTCTTTATTTTTAAATTTTTCATTGTACAAAAAAAATTGTGTTCTTGTAATGAACTACGTTTGACTTGATCCCCTTTGGGTACGTAGGCAGTTTGGATAAATTATAAATTCAAGTTCAATCATAACTAATAAATTCATTCAATTTGTTTGCTAATTGCTGTAGTAAAAAAAATATGAAAAAGAAAAGTTCATCCAAATAAAAAATAACAAGTCAAAATTCATACAATATGGTCTTAAAAAAGGATCAAAAATTCATGATTTCATCAGGATCACTCGCAGGAAACTTTTTGCAAGATCAGACTGGCGAGAATGATGGGCGAATCGATGCACTTCAAGGAATAGATGGTATTCATGATTCTCATGACACTCCTTGCAAATATTCGGGCACCATCAATGGAGGTACTTTGATACATATCATGGACAATTTTAATGCTGAAGATGAAGTAAATTCAGGGACTGTGAGAGCTAACGTTTCATAGATCAATCAAGGAGTTCCTGTCTTACAAAAAATGGAGCATGATTTCAAAAAAAAAGGAGGAAAAGTGCAGCAAACAACAACAGGGTACATACCTGCATTTCGTGTCCAAGGCGACGTGTTTAAAAATCCATCGTCTGATGGTATGAGAAATTCCAACTTCACCTTTTGAAAGACTCGGAATAGCTTGAAGCGACCTCGATTCTATTGGTTGTTTGATTTTGTATATTCGAGAAAGAGAAGCCTGAAATTGAAGATTGTGACAGAAAATCAGATACAAACAGTACATAAAAAAAGGGGAGAACTATACTTTATCTCTAGAACTTTCATCTTCTGAAGTTAAGTCTTTCCTGATGCTTGTGATGCTCGATCTCCAGGACTACTGTGATCTGGAATCAAAATTACTTCTGGCACCTTATCAGCAGGCTCAGAGGTGGTAGCAATCTTTATCGGGGGAACTATAATTTTGATTTTCTTAATACATATTTCATTTTGCTGGTTTCGATCCCTCTTTCGAGAGCCTCTTCAGGAGCAGCATTTGGAGGGTTTAACCCTCTAGCTAAAACCCTGTTCAAAGTCGAGCCAAGAACAAAGTCATGGCTCTCACTAGAAAATAAGACTTGCACCTGGACCTTGGTCAAGAGTGGAAACACTTTGCTATTCCACCAAGCCTGGTATTCAATATCAATGTTTTGATGTATGTTCCTCACATCTTCTAGAATATGAAATACAGATCCACTTTTTGTCCGAGTTAAGGACAACCAAACCCGATACATGTCGCCTACACTGGGGGCAATATTCAACTTTCTTGGTGAACTGGGAAGTTACTGTCTAAAGCTAAACTATCTCGCAAACCTGTAAGGATTATACGTCTCAAGAATGAAAGGTGAATTTTCTGGACGATAAGAAACAAATCCAGATCGAATACTTATCATGAATTCTGAAGTATCTAAGACCTCGATTGGTCATCCACACGTACATCAGGATGAGACGATGAGGCTAATGGATTCCAGCAAAAGTTATCAATGTTCATCGCTCAACGGATAAATTCCCGACAATCAGCAACATTTTTCTCCCAAGATTGAAAAGGACTCAGAGTTCCAGCATATCTTCGAATTATAGGCGAGAATAACTCTTCTCTACATGAGCATAAATACCTCGGACAAAATAAGTTGCTACCCAAGCATAAAGAAAATGTCTATAAAATGAATGTGAAATTGAGCTAAGGTCTGGATTTGCCTGATAGTTAGATGTTCGTGTAAGTTCACTATAAATGCTCGTCAATATGGGTGGAACCAGACTATAAGTGTATCCGCCTGTCATTCCAGAAGATGTTTTAAAAGTCCCGACTCTTATACTTTCGTCCCCAGATGGAAGAACGAAGCGACAAAGTTACAAAGAGAGATAGATTGCTATCTCTAATTCCTCTTCTTCTTCCATAGACAGAGATACAGAAAAATTGCTCCAATAATGTCGATCCCTACGAGTAATGTCTCTCGGCTTGTCTACCAACACGGGCCTCCGTATTTTCTTCGATGTTCTTTGATGACGCCTCTTGAATGGATTTAAATTCATAGCATTCTTATAATTTTTGTCTTGTCGAGGGTTCGGGACACAACCATTCTCATGAAACCAAAAATTAATCCACTGTTCGTGAGTAACTCTGTCAGATTCATTCGCATGGGCAATCAATGCGAAAACATTAAAGAGATACAAGCAAGACTTAGGAAGATGATCCGTCAACTTTGAAAGGCTTGAGACTATTTTCTCATAATAATGACCTATGATCGAAAGTCCACTTATCTCGTGGATGTCCCAAAGAGAAATGTCAATTTCACCATTGGCAGTCACAAAGGTGTTGGTCTCTGGACACCAAATCTCACAAAGAGCTCTGTAAATGGAGTTTGGGCGATGGTAATCTTTTGCAGCAGAACCGACTGCAAAAGCTAACTCGCAGAGATTCCTCTTGAGCAGAAGTTTCTGGACTCACAAAGACCACTCCCAAAATTTTGGAAGAAAAGAAATCTCTCCTCGACTGACCAGTGTGCTTCCCCATCGTATTTCTCTATTATCAATTCTCTCACAAATCACAGCCCTTGGGAGATATACTTCATGCTCTAGGAATGATGAGGCGGAAGACCCAAAAAGGGAAGATGACTACTAGAGCGATTGGACCTGCCAGTATCCGAACTCTCGTGATATTCACTAATGGTGGATATATGCAACTCCGACAATGGCTCCAGAAGGTCGGGGGAAGGATCTGTCATTAGCTTATGAACACTAAATTTAAGTTCACCTCGTATGCCGGTCTGGGCATGGTACTTCACATCAGTATCTTTGAAACGCAGATAACTTTTGCCTTGATTTTTAAGCTTAACAATTTCATGCATGTCAGAGCACACTTTATCATCAGAACTTGTTGCAGCCATGCCTGCAAAAAAAAAAAGTCAGCCAAAAAAAGGGGACAGTAAACCTGAGTCTCCCAAATATATAAGCAGTCTCTATAAAAAATACCTTGGACAATGGAAGGAACCAGTCCTTGGTCCTTAACACTAAGTGTCTTGGACGATAGAAGGAACAGGTCTTCGATCCTCAACACAAATTGTCTTAGACAGTTGAAGGAGCCAGTCCTTGATCCTTAACACAAAGTGCCTTGGACGATGGAAGGAACCAGACCTTGGTCCTTAACACAAAGTGCCTTGACAATGGAAAGAACGGGTAATTGGTCCTCAACACAAAGTGTCTTGGACAGTTAAAGGAGCCAGTCCTTGGTCCTCAACACAAAGTGTCTCAGACAGTTGAAGGAGTCAGTCTTTGATCCTCAACACAAAATGCGAGCCAGTCCTTGATCCTCAAAACAAAGTGCCTTGGACAGTCGAAGGAGCCAGTCCTTGGTCCTTAACACAAAGTGTTTTGGACGGTCGAAGAAGTAAGTCCTTGGTCCTTAACACAAAGTGCCTTGGATGGTCGAAGGAGCAGGTCCTTGGTCCTCAATAAAAAGTGCATTGGATGGTGAAAAGTGGCAGTCCTTGGTCCTCAATGTGTATGAAGGTTTGCAATTTTGAGTTTGTTCAAAAGCATATATTTCTTGAACTCGTAGAATAATTGCAACATGAAAAAAAAAATCTAACCTTTCCACGAAAAAAATTTTGAACCTCAAAATTCTTGATTTACTCTAAAAGTTGAGTCCTTAAAAAAAATATGTAGGGATGTTAGTTCCAATTTTATTAAAACAAAAATACAAAAAAAAACATAATAATAACAACAATAATCAACGAAAAAGGGATTGAAATAAAAAGACAATTAAAAAAAAAGGAACTAGAACAAGAAGAAAGACATAAAAAAAAAGTTACGTAAAAAAAAAAAGAATAATTAAGGGCTTCTGTCGTTCTCGGCAGAAACCAAGAAATTGGAATTGGAACCTGGAATTGGTTCCAATTCCAGAAACCAAAGTATTTAATATATTAAAAAAAATTCTCTGGTTTTTCGCTGCCGTGTCAAAACCAGGAAATATTAAAAAAAATGCAAAAACAAAAAATAAAAATGGAAAAGATTGATTCGAAACCAAACCAATTCCGATTTGGAATTTGTCTTCATCTATTCCAATATGGAATTGGTAAAACCAAATTGGAATTCAGCATTCCGTTTTCCACAACCCAAAATAAAAAAATGGAAAATCCAAAGAAAAAGGAACCAAAAAAAAAGTAAAAAGAAACAAAAAAAAAAAAAATTGAACCAAATTTGGTTTTTGCCATTGCCGTGGCAGAAACCAAAATTTGTTTAGTTTTTTGGCTTCGAGGCGACGAAAAACCCAATAAGTTAATTACTTACACAAAAAGAAAGAAAGAAATAGAATCAATTCTGTGAAAACCAAACAATTTGTTTGGTTTCTGTATCATGTTGACTTTGGTTCCACCACCAGGCGGAAGCCATTAATTAAAAAAAAATTAAAGAAAAAGAGAAAACAAAAAGAGAGAGAGAGAGAGAGACTAAAGAATAAAAAAAATTATTTACCTCTGTCTGCAAGATTTAACCAACTTATTTCCAAATATCATGATGCATTGATATAAATAGGTAAGTGTCGGACTTCATTCAAACCCAACTTACCACAAAATATAAAAAGTCTGTACAAATCAAATTTGTTATGAGTCTATAAAATAAATAAATAATCAAAATTCAACGAAAAAAATTATTCTCAGATTTAAAGGGTAAATTTTTTATCAAATTCACGTTTTATTCTCAAAATTTTTATCTGTATTAATTTACTAATGAGATGTTTGAAATAAAAAAAGGAGTCAAAATTGAACAAATAAAAAAATAAAATCGAAAATCAAGATTTATTAATTTATTTATTTCATAATAAATAATTAAATCTTGAGGGGGCATTTGTAAACATAAAAAAAAAGTAAATAAAATAAAATGGATTGGATTGATTTAAATCATTAGCCCAATTAAATCTTAAGTCTACTAAAGTTCGTAAAAATCCAAAAGCCCATACCACATTTTAAATAAATAAACAAACAAATAAATAAAATTATAATTACTCAATTATCTCTTTTAATTAAATATAATTGAGTAATTACCAAAATTAGCCCGAATCCTCCCCTATAAATAAGACCAATGATCCATAAGACAGGACACAGAAAGCAAGCAAGAAAAAAACAGAGAACGCCACGAATTGCTGAAGAATTGCATGACCAGAAGAAGGGAAGAATTCCTCTCAAATCCAAATTCGGTGAACCCCAACAAGATTAATCTTCTTCGACTCAAACAGGTTCACGCCAAATCCAAGGAGATTAAAGTCTTCTTCAAATCAAATCAAATTCAAGTCCAAGTCTAAGCCCCGAAGTTCAAGTTCTGAACAAATCAAGTCTCAATAAATCAAATTTTCAACAAATTCTTGAAGACCAGGACTCAAACCACGTGGCCCCTCGTCTTGAAATATTTAGATCATTAATCAGATGATTTTGCAATTTTACAATTACAAGAAGGTCAACATCTTTT